AATGGAAGAAACACAAAACAACTGTCAGTCTCCCTAGGTCTGGTGCACCATGCAAGATCTCACCTTGTGGAGTATCAATGATCATGAGAACAGTGAATAATCATCCCACAACTACACGTGAGGATCTTGTCAATGATCTCCAGGCAGCTGGAACCACAGTCACCAAGAAAACAATTGGTAAAACACTATGCTGACAAGGATTGAAATCCTGCAGTGCCCACAAGGTCCCTCTGCTCAAGAAAGCACATGTCCAGGCCCGTCGGAAGTTTGCCACTGAACATCTGATTGATGCAGAGGAGGACTGGTTGAAAGTGTTGTGGTCAGATGAGACCAAAATCAAGCTCTCTGGCATCAGCTCAACCCGCCGTATTTGGAGGAGGAGGAACTAGTCCTCTGCACTGAGCTCCAGGTAGACAACTTGGAAGCCTAGATCTGATTAAAGACAAAGCTTCCCCCAGCTTTGGGTAGCCATCTTGAACCCAGAAAGGCTATAGTGTGTATAATCTCTCCTCGGAGATTCTGGTGCATTCACAGTGTGGGGAATAGATTCCAGAGGAGGAAAGAAAGCTCAGGGATGGATACCCTTGGAGATCTACTGACAGTTGGAGAAGGATGTGCTTAGTGGCCTTCCATTCTGCAAGCACTGGACTCCTGTGGGAAGACAACATTTAAAGAGCCATACAAACACCTGTTTAAGAAAGCACTCCTCGAGCACCATACCGTGTGAAAGTCTTACATCATAGAAATGCATTATTGGACTGCATTGTGGCAGATGTGTAAAGTACTTTACATTCCAAAACGTGACTTTGGCAAAGCTGATGCTTTGTTGTTACTACTGAATATTCATGATATTAATAAGAAAACCAAAAGAAGACATTGTATTGCCTGTTACCGTCAACACCCTAACAATATTAATAAAAAAAAGTAATAAAATGAACACGCTGCCATACAGAAACCTCTGCTGCTGCCCACACTGCTGATTGCTCCTATATTGTGGAGAAGCTGTCACTATAAGAATCTTCTCAATCCGACACTTCTGGTCCCCTGCTGCACGCTCTGGTTCTTCTGTTGGACTCTACGTCACTACAATAGATATTATATTGTGATGTAGAGGCTGGTGAGAGAAACCACAGCTCATGGTGCTGGAATCTGAGGATTCTTTCAGTGGCAGCTTCTCCACAACTTATTGAACCCCCTCCTTACAGGAGCTGCATTTTAAAACTTTATATGTTTACGAGAGTCGCTTCAATTTCGTCTTCCCAAAAGACTCCAGTGACAAAAGGCCAACATTTTACCCAAACTAAAATTTCAGAAAAATCTAAAGTTTACATTTCATCTAGACATATTTGTTCACTAAGTTCTCTAGAATTATTATGATGGCCCAGCAGTCAACATTTTCTGAAAGAACTCTTATACCACATGAAACAACATACATTCATGACAAGTTTCCTTATGCCAGTGTTTCTCAACCTTTTGTCAGTCAAGGCACCCTTTACAATTATGGATAATCTCAAGACTCCCTTTAAAATTCTGCACAATCTCAAGGCTCCCCACCCAACATTAGAGGTGATTTATTCTTCCATAGGAAATATTCCTTTGCACAGTGGGACTGACTAGTATTCCAGTTTTTCTCTCTCAGTTTCTCTCCTTCACTCAACTAATCTGACCCCAGTGCTGACGGAGAGGGGCAGGAAAGGGCAAACAAGGATGATGTGCAGGCACCAGATGCCCTCTTTATCAACTGATGATGTAATTGGTTGTTAGGATGCTGGCAGCTAGAAGGTCATAAATGTGCGCCAAAAAAAATTACATTAATTTCCCAAACCAATGCTGCTGCTCTTTGACAAATAATCAAAAAAAAAAAAAAATATAAAAAACACAGTGCAAAAAATTATATAAATTTTAATAATTAAACATAAATGAAGTATATAAAATAATAATATCCAAGTCAAAAGTGAAAAAAACAATAATAAAAAAGTCCCAATCCAAAAGAAAAATGAAAATATCCTATATCCAATGTGCTCCAAAGAAATAATGACGTGCCACGTGCAGAAGAAACTTCATTGTATCAACACCAACTGTGATAACCAACATATATTACACTCACCAAATGTAATGGACCTTCAAAAGCTTAAGACTCAAATACACTTTTGGGTATTAAATATTGTGCCAATAGGGACTTCCACCCATTCAGAAAGATGCTCCTGTGCTCTGAACGATCCAATCTCGGAGGAATCCCCCGCTATAGATCCCGATTACAGGTGACACCCCCCTCTGGTCCCCAGTTCAGCTTTCTGCCGATCTCAACCTCCGACACACAGCCTGACCTGCTCTCACTCTGAGGTGCTAAGCTGTACTGCAGGCAAAGTGTCCAGTATGGGCACACCGACCTCTGTGCCACCACCTCCTAAAACAGATTACTGTACCTGTTCCTGTCATGCAAATCTGTGACAAACCCTTTGTAAGGAAACTAATACTCATACAGCTAATGCTTGTGCACATACTCCTGCAGCTAAAGCTTGTGCACACAGACAGACAGACTCAGGCCAATAGCCGTTGTGCACTGGAACGCATTGGTGCATGCTCACACAAAATTCTGGGGATGGCACCAAGCTGCCTATTTAAAGGAGGTCCTGATATCTGGTCATTGCTGGATGTTCTACAGCTTCCTGTGTTCTCCCATTGCTGAAATGGTCTGCTCCTGACCTTGCTCTGTGGATTCTGGACTCTGACCCCAGCTTGCCTCTGATTATGCACTGCTGTCTTCCTGGTATGAACCTCATCCTGCTGCTTGACTTCGTTTACTCTTGCTCCTTGTGTATGATCCTTGCTTGTTTACTGACTACATCCTTGCTGTCAATCTCTGCTGACCCTGGCTTGTCATCTAACCACGTCCTTGATCTTGCCTTTACCTGCTTCTGGCTGAGCAGCCTCACAGTCTTCATATCAACATTCCAAGGTCCAGTTTCCCAGTGCCATACTGTAGACCACCATCCTTGGTCCTCTTCTAATGTGCCTCCACCACTGCTGGATACAGCTCAGAGACTACTTCTACATGCTACCTAATTACCAGAACCCATGCAGCTTTGTACCCTGTGCCCCGTCTCCATGCTGGGGGGTACTTTGACCATAGTCACTGACAATTTTGGTATGAAGGTACGAAGAAATTCTCAGAAGTGTCTACTATACAGTATTCTTTATGAATTCTCATACTGTGTCTCTTTTTTCCCCTTCCTGTTCGCAATGTTCTCTACTTAATACGCTGAGCTACGCATTTCGAAGTAAGCATAAGTGAAGTTATGTTCCACTTTAAACTAAAAGTTCAGTTGGGCTTTAATGATAAATTGTAATGTACTTAATTTATTTATTCCTGTCCATCTTTCAGAAGGCCCTTGCTGTAAATGTACTTTTCACATGACATATTCTCAACTATGAATGTTTAATGAGGCCAGACGCATAGACACAGGTCGGCCAGACCCCAATGTCTCGATTTCAGACACATAGCAGGTATTTCACATCTATAAGTAATGTCTCTTCCCATCTCTTGTTATTTTCAGCCAGTTCCCAGAACCAGGACTCCAGTCAACTCAGTATTTTGTCAGTAATCACTTTGCGTTCAGGCTTTTTATTCCCCCCCCCCCTCCTCTTGTAATGGAATATATTTGTGCTAAATTATGAATGAGCTTTATAGTAAAACAAATGCTATTATCTCGGTTATTTATTCATGGGATGTCGTCTGTAACATAGCCACACCAATGTTTCTCGGAGTTTTGTATTGATCAATTGCTTTAATCAGACGCATCAAGGGATGCTTAACGATTCAGCAACTGCAGTTGGGAGTATCAGCATCTCTGGCTGGAAACGCGCCAGCCTATAAGTGATGCTGATGTCAAGTATTAGGTAATATTATCAGTAAGTAGGAGCAGAGCTTTTCACACTCTGAGGTTGGCTGTCCACGCCCAGCGCGCATGATTGATCTTGATTAATTCTGCTGGATGTGGGTTCTCTAAACATTATTGTAATGCATTTCAAGAGATTGGGGGAGGGAGCCATTCTTTTTTATTAGCTGAAAAACTCATAATGTGGCCTATACTTGATAAGAAAGATTGCTCAGGAAGAGACAGAGCTAAAGAGTTGGCACTGATAGTCTTTTTATATCCTCCTAGGAATTCTGGCAGTGCAGCTCTATAAAATCCTGCTGTTACTTTGGCTGCTGTCACACAACTATTCTGCAGGCTTTCCCTCCCGCAGCACACATCCTCTGTGGTCGCCTTTTAGTATTGTGCTGCATGTCACTAATTAAGGCGAAAATCCTAATATTTAGCGGCTATTGCGGCTCCCAGAGAATAAGCAAAACTTTTCTTTCTCTTTCTTCCATCAGCATATCCAGGACTAGGCAGTAATTTGTGATCCTGCAATAAGTACTGTCTGTGCCACAATCCTCTCCTGAAATGTGCCTGATTTCTGCCTGTACTCTGTATGCTGCGTAAACGCCTTCTCTTAAAAATATGCATGATGGGAAAATGTTGTTTAATTTCGGATTAGTTTGTTATGCTAATAATTTCATTTGTCATATTAGAATGAATTTTAGAATGAATTATTTTTTCAGAATTCATTTTGTATATTTGATATTAGATTCACTTAGATATTATATTCATTTCAAATATTTGTTATTTTCAAATCAATTTGAAATTTGCAATTCAAATTTCAAAATTCGAACTTCAAATTGCAGACTATGACTATATTCATTCTATTCTATTCTATTTTATTCTATTCCCTTATATTCTTTTCTATCGTATTCTATTTTTTTATTTTCTATTCTTTTTTATTCTATTGTTTGTTTTTATATTATATTCTATTTGTTTATATTCATTTTGATTCTATTCCTTTATTTTCTTTTCTAGTCTATTCAACAGTTTTATTCCATTCTTTTCTTTTATATTCAGTTCTTTAATATTCTATTTGTTAAAGTATTACTAAACCTAGGACCCTACATTCACTATATCTGGTCTCCCACTGTACACAGAACATGGAAGTGCAATTATTTTAGTAAATATAAACTGCAAAATACCTTTTCTCATCAGCAGTTAGAGCAGTCTTGTGACAGTGTCCAGCCAAGCACATGTTAAAGCTTGTAGGAGGAGTTTTCATTTTGGTCTAGGAGGATACAGAACCCCTGACCTCTGTCTAGATAGTGTTGATTGTGCTGATCACATGCACTCTCCCAAGAAAAAAATACCTCTCTAGCAATACACACCAAACTGAGCATGTGCAGAGTGACTGCACACAATATGTTTTATCAGGAGATAAGAGGGGGACACTGGCAGAAGGGGAGAGCTCAGAGAAGACAAGCTCAAACAACATTTTTACACAATGCAGAGAATTAACCTGTAAGGTTCCCCAGTGAGTATAACAAGCATGCTTTATTGCATATACAGACTGATTTTACTGTTGTGGGTTTAGCAACACTTTAATATTCTATTATTTTCTATTTTATCCTGTTTTTATTCTATTCTATTCTATTCTTCCAGTGGGGGCACTAGATCTGGTGACAACTGAGGTTTTCCTCACTTTGGAGGGATTTCCTCTCATTTCTTGTGTTGACTGTGGGACAGAAGGTGAAGGGAAACTTGCGCAATGGGGCATGGGCAAAAAAGGAGTTATAACTCACCCTTACTGCATTCAAAATAAAACAAAATGTTTTGCTGTTAGTTCTACTTTAATAAAAGACTGCATTGTTGCTCACTCATGCTCTCTGCATTTTCTCTTTCAGTGCAGGCAAAGCACTCCTTTTGACTGCCTGATTTTAAATTTCAGCTGGTGCACAGAAGATGAGAAAAAAATTTACATAAAGCAAGATTTCAGATTACACCAATTCCGGTAATAAACAATGAGTATGCAGTATATGTTTATGATATATTTGTCTGGATTTCTTCCCTAATGGAGACACGTATATTTGACACTTTGATGACTGATTGCAATAAATAAACTAATTACAGACAGCTACATACACAGCTGAAGAGCAGTTTTCTGTGTCATTGCCTTGCAAGTGTCATTTTGTTGAGACTTACACAACCTAGGGAGAGAGCATGGCAAGATTGGTGACCTGAGTTTTTTCTGCAGAACTTAAAGTATATGCCCATCCATTTTTTTAAAAAGGTGTTTCCACTTTTGCAGTCAAATTGGAATAATAGCCACTTTAAATTTGTTTCATGTCCCCATTCACATAGGATGACTTTGCTGATTGCAGGTACAATGCTCTGCAAGCTGCAGAAGAAAAATATAAAATACACATTTTTATACCTGCAAAAATATGTGCATGTATTGTTTTTTAAGGTGAGCTTAGCCTTTAACCTTGGCTCAGACTGTTGCAACTTGAGATCCAGCTTCTGAGACCGCATGACATGTGGAATCCCATGTTAGTCAATGAGAGCTGTCTTAAAGTGTTACTAAACACAAGACCCTGCATTCACTATATCTGGTCTCCCACAGTACACAGAACATGGAAATGCCATTATTTAAGTAAATATAAACTGTTAAATACATTTTCTCATCAAAAGTTACAGCAGTCTTGTGACTTCTATCAGTGTCCAGCAGAGCACTGGTTAAAGCTTGTAGGAGGAGTTTTATTTCTGCTCGAGGAGGATGTAGAACCCCTGACCTCTGTCTGAGCAGTGCTGATTGGCCCTGTGCTGATCCCATGCACTCTCCCAAGAAAAAAAAAAAAAAAACCTCTTTAGCAATACACACCAAGCTGAGCATGTGCAGAGTGATTCCACACGATATGTCTTATCAGGAGATAAGAGAAGAAGAAGGAGAGGATCAGAGAAGTCAGGCTCAAACAGCCTTTTTACACAAAGCAGAGGATTAACCCCTTAGGTTCCACAGTGAGTATAACAAGCATGCTTTACTGCATATACAGACTGATTTTACTGTTGTGGGTTTAATAACACTTTACGTAGCACTACTGAAGTCACTCCAACTTTAGAAAAGGTTCCTGTACTACTTCAAGACTACTTCAATGTGACTTGTGCCCATAGACTTTTATGGAAGTCACCTCCAAGTTGGATCCTCATCTATATTGACGTGATTTTGATCTGACACACCTATTTTTTTGTTTGTTTGTTTTACCAATTGGAAAATATCTGTTTGTTCATTAAATTTTGTTTAATTTATCGAATTTCTAACAAAATCCAAATTTTCTGAACAAATGGAATTCAAAACGGTCAAAAATTGATCGACCGATACTAATTCTGTGTAAAGAATAGCTAGTTACTAAGGAGCGGGCCAGGAAGCCAGCCGCCATATCCTTACCAAACGATGACTAAACCGATGAAATAAAAGAATGCCAGCAATTAAAAATTTAAAAAATACTGTATGTCGGTCCCCTCCCTATTCATCCTAGGTCCTTCGGGTCTAGTATGAATTTTAAGGGGAATCCCATGCCAAAATTTTAAAAAAGGCTTGGGGTCCCCCAAAAAATCCATACCAGACCCTTACATGAGCTTACAGCTCGGCAGGTCAAGAAAGGGGGGGATGAGGGAGCACCCCCTCTCATGAACCATACCAGGCCACAAGCTCTTAACATGGGGGGTGCTTTGGTAGATGTTGATGGGGACAAGGGCCTCTTCCCCACAACCCTGAGCTGTGGTTGTGGGTGTCTACGGGGGGTGACTTATCAGAATCTGGAAGCCCCCTTTAACAAGGGGACCCCCAGATCCCACCCCTTCCATGTGAATGAGTATGGGGTACATAGTAACCCTACTTATTCACCAAAAAAAAATGAATAAAAACACGATAGTTTTTGACAAGTCTTTTAATGTCCCCCAAAGTAGATCCAACATCAATCGCAATTACATTCCTTGTGACAGCAATAATAAAAAATAAATGAAAGCAACAGTGTAGAAAAAAAAAAGTGGTAACCTGTAAAAGCTTTTAAAGCGTTGCCTATGGATAGTAAAATGTTATGTTGTTTGTCGCCGTTGCACAAGTGTGTGCAGTTTTAAAGCTTGACATGTTTGGTATCTGTTTACTTGGCATAACATCATCTTTTATATTTTACAAAAAAATTGGGTTATGTATTGTGTTTTTTGCATTAGAATTAAAAAAATAAATTTTTTACCAAAAAATTGCATTTGAAAAACTGTGCAGATACCATGTGACATAAAAAATTGCAAAACCCACCAATTTATTCTTTAGGGCCTATGCTTTAAAATTCTAAGTAATTTTCTAGCAAAAAAAAAAAATGATTGTTACATGTGAACAAAAAGTGCCAGAAAAAGCCTGGTCCTTAAGTGGGCATAAAGTATTTTTTATTTTATTAATAATTATAACAATAATAATTATATATATATATATACAGTGGGGATCGAAAGTTTGGGCACCCCAGCTAAAAATTTGTATTAATGTGCATTAAGAAGCCAAGGAAAGATGGAAAAATCTCCAAAAGACATCAAATTACAGATTAGACATTCTTATAATATGTCAACAAAAGTTAGATTTTATTTCCATCATTTACACTGTCAAAATAACAGAAAACAAAAAAATGGCGTCTGCAAAAGTTTGGGCACCCAGAGTTAATATCTTGTACTGCCCCCTTTGGCAAGTATCACAGCTTGTAAACGCTTTTTGTAGCCAGCCAAGAGTCTTTCAATTCTTGTTTGAGGTATCTTTACCCATTCTTCCTTACAAAAGTCTTCCAGTTCTTTGAGATTTCTGGGCTGTCTGTCACGCACTGCTCTTTTAACGTCTATCCATAGATTTTCAATTATGTTGAGGTCAGGAGATTGTGAAGGCCATGGCAAAACCTTGAGTTTACACCTCTTGATGTAATCCCCCTTGGATTTCAAGGTGTGTTTAGGATCATTATCCATTTGTAGAAGCCATCCTCTCTTTAACTTCAGCTTTTTCACAGATGGCATCAAGTTACCATCCAAAATTTGCTGAAATTTTATTGAATCCATTTTACCTTCTACTCATGAGATGTTCCCTGTGCCACTGGCTGCAACACAACCCCAAAGCATGATTGATCCAACCCCATGCTTAACAGTTGGACAGAGGTTCTTTTCATTAAATTCTGTGCCCCTTCTTCTCCAAACGTACCTTTGCTCATTCCGGCCAAAAAGTTCAATTTTAACCTCATCGGTCCACAGAACTTGTTTCCAAAATGCATCAGGCTTGTCTATATGTTCATTTGCAAAGTTCAAACGATGATTTTTGTGGTGAGGACGTAGAAGAGGTTTTCTTCTGATGACTCTTCCATGAAGACTATATTTGTACAAGTATCTCTTTATAGTGGAATAGTGTACCACAACTCCAGTTTCTGCCAGATCTTTCTGGAGGGATCGTGCAGTCAAACGTGGGTTTTGAATTGTTTTTCTTACAATCCTGCGAGCTGTTCTGTCTGATATTTTTCTTGGTCTTCCAGATCTTGCTTTAACTTCCACTGTTCCTGATGACTGCCATTTCTTAATTACATTCCAAACAGAGGATATTGACATCTGAAAAACGCTTTGCTATCTTCTTATAGCCTTTTCCAGCTTTGTGAGCATCAACTATTTTCAGTTTCAGTTTTCTAGACAACTGCTTAGAAGAACCCATGGTGCTGATTGTGGGGCAAGGTCAGATGAGTCTGGGCATTTGAAATCTTTGAGATTGACATAACCTGGTCTTCCCAGACGATGATTGAGAACAATCCATGACACTGGCAGGTCTCAGCTTTGCAAAGGGGGCAGTGCATGCTATAAATTCTGCAGGGTGCCCAAACTTTTGCAGACGCCATTTTTTTCGTTTTCTGTTATTTTGAAAGTGTAAATGATGGAAATAAAATCTAACTTTTGTTGACATATTATAAGAATGTCTAATCTGTAATTTGATGCCTTTTGGAGATTTTTCCATCTTTCCTTTGCTTCTTTATGCACATTAATACACATTTTTAGCTGGGGTGCCCAAACTTTCGATCCCCACTGTATATATATATATATTTACATATATATTTATTTAAATATTTTAAATGCTCCTTTCTGGACCTTCCAGCCAGGAAAAATCGTGCTTAGTTCCCTTTGCTATGAGGAGACTGGAAATCTGTGTTTGCCATAATTAAATCTGTCTGTACTGTGCAGGCAGTTATCAACTTTGAACACAGTCCATCTTAAGAAAGGAGCAATTACGTATATATACTACCCCACTTCCCAAAAAATTGGAACGCTGTTACTGTTTGCAGGATGTTGATTAACCACAGGATTGCAGTGTTCCACATTTTAGCTGTTACAGACGTTATTATAGCAAGGCATTGTTGAACTTGTATGCTGAAGGCAGGACTATTATGCACAGACAGGCTGAAAGCAGACTACATTTCCCAGAGGAACTGGTGAAGGGCTGGGAGGCTATATAACCAAAAGCCTGGGAATTTCCAGGAGGGAGAAGAGGACTTGTGCTGGATGCAGGCGTGAAACTCAAAGGGCCCAGCCTGGATCGGGTTGCATCGAAGCCAAGCAGGTGAGCTTACCCTGCAGACATACTAATCTTGGAACCATACCTGGGTATCGATCCATTCTCAGAGGGATCAAGAGGAAAAGTTGCCCACCAATCAAGAGACTGTTCTTCTCTCTGCTAAGACTACAGATTTGGTGAGAGGGTTCCACAACCCAAGTTTTCTTCAGACATCCTGCTGTTCTCTCAATTAAATCAGTGTAGTATACTTTGCATCACAGTTTACCACCTGAGACACAGACTTCTTAGCCCAATTCAGTACTGCGGCCTACAGCTTCAGTATCCCCCCCTTCATCATTGTTTTGAATGCAGGATTACTCCTGCAGCACATGTGTTTTTGTGGACAGTGATACTGTTAATACATTACCTCTAAATATAGAGCAACTTGCTTCATCAAGCTAATTCCCTATCTATTGTAAGAAAAATGCTATTGGAGTTTATTCCCTTCCTCACATCTGTTGATCCTTTCCTTCACCTACTTCTACTAAGGGACCCTTTTCTAGTTCAGCTATCATCAGTCATGGGTAACGTTTCATACTACTGTGCTTCTCCGTCTTCAAGAAATCCTGCTGTCAAACTAAAAAGACCTCAACCTTAATGTGGCACCAACAAGCGTGCAGAAGAGTTTTTATTTTTTGTTATATTCTGGGGTGATATTGAAGGGGACATTAGCACCTGTACTGTATAGTCAACTTCTGAGTTAAACCTTGTTCCCAGATATTGAGAGCCCAAAGGTGAGTTGGCCCAAATTCTTGATAGCTGACTTCCACTCATATTTGGGAAAGATATCTCAGTGTGGGAACTGGTGTTTAAACTCTGGTCCTGCAAGACATTTTGGGTTTGTCCTAAAGTGGTACTGTGTTTGATCATTTGGCTGAGCCTTGCAGACTGTCCAACCACTATATATGCTTACTGTTATCTCTTTTGTGCTTGTGCTATTTATTTTACTTTGATCTCAATACAATCAAAATATTGGTTCACCTTAAACTGTGTGGTTACTTTGTGTTTCAGGGCCAGGGGATTCTCCTGATCAATGTTTTATGGTAGTATCAGCAGGGGCTGTGCTTCCAAATCAGGCTAAGAACAAACAGGGAACCCAAAAATATTCAGCAGCTCTTAAGGGTTTTGCGTTTCAGTTGCAAAGTGGAAAACTGTTCTGTGCTCAAAAGAATCCATCTATCCTTCCTCCTATTAGTGCATATGGAATGGGCGGCTTGCGCATCTGTAAAGGCACCATCAGCGCTGAAAGATATATCCAGGTTTTAGAGCAG